TACCTGGTGCCCAAAGCACGGTACCCACTGCATGGTGCCTGGTACCCGGTGCCCGTTCCCACGCGGTGCTGCACGGCCGTGCCGGATGGGGAGCGCTCGGTGTGGCCGCGCAGGAGGCGTTTCCCAGCCCCACGCTGGCTGGAGGCCAAGGCTCCCAAATGAGCCTCCTTGCACCACACCGTGTGCTGGGAGCTCCCACTCACACCTCCCCGGTATAAAACCCCGCAACAGCGCAGCGCGCGCACAGCCGGGACAGCCCTCGCAGCAGGTAAGTGACCCGACCCAAGCTGAGGGGGGAAGGGGGGGGGTTCCCCATGCCCAGGGGTCCACCACCTTCCTCCCCAGCCCCCTCCCACGCTCGGCTCTGCCACGACTTGCAGGGACGCTCCCACCCCCGGGACGTGTCCCGGCAGCTCGGCGCATCCCAGGGCGTCTTCCTCGCCCCGACTCCGAAGGAGGGGAACGCTCCCCCAAAACCAACGCTGATCGTGACTCTCTCCCCCCCCCCCCCCCCGGAGGCCCCTCAGGCCCCCCCAGAACAAAGGGACTGCAGACCCCACAGGAGGAGCAGCATGGGCCAGTGCAACTGCCGCAAGAAGCGCAAGGTCTGCGGGCGACGCCGGCATTGGGAGGGCTGGGAGCTGTGGGGTGTAGCTGGGGGGACAATCTTGTCCCCACCCCTTGGAGCTTGGGGTGCTCTGAGCTGTGCAGCCCCCCCCTACCCCCCCCCCCCCAGGATGAGTTTGGATTTGGGGTCTCTCCGGCCGGGATGAGTTTGGATTTGGAGATATTCCTCAGATTGGGGCGGACGGTGCTGGGAAAGTTTGGGGCTTTGGAGCTCCGTGCAGCCTCTCCGAGGATGGCAGAGTTCCCCCCCGTGTCCTTCGGACATGAGCATGTGCCCACCTGCACCCCTGGGGGGGGGGCACTGGGTGCTCTGCACCTGCAGAGGCCTCGGTGGGGGGTGGGGGCCCACAAGATGACTGGTTTCTCCCCAATGGCCCCATCGCATGATGTGGTTTCGGGGTGTTTCGAAGGGAAACCGCAGCGCCCCGTGAATCACCCTCGTTTCCCTTCCAATGCAGCTCCTGCTAATTAGCAGCGGGGTCGCGGAGCTGCTCCCTCCTCTCCCCCCCCCCCCCCACACACTGGGATTAGGGTCTGCAGCCCCGTAGGGTGGGGATGGGTGGCCCCGTGATGGGCACTGACTCACAGCTCCACTGCCACTTGTGCAAAGAGAGGAAGAACCCGTCCTGCCCCACGCGGGGGTGTGCGCCCGGGGATGGGGCGGGGAGCGGTGGGGGGGACGGGGCCACCGGGGGTCGTGTTGGGGTCCTGTGGGAGGGTGAAGGGTCACAGGAGCGGCGTGTGGGTATTGGATCGTACAGAGAATGGTGGATGGGGTTCTGGATTTATATGGGGGGCCCCACATCTGTAGGTGGGTCCCGGATTTGGATGGAGGGGTCATGCAGTGGGATGGAGGGGTCCTGCTTCTGTGCAGGGGGTCCTGCAGTGATGTGGAGGGGCGTCGCATCTGTATGAGGGTCTCAGGTCTCTATAGAGAGGTCAATACTGGTACGTGGGGGCCCATATCTGTGTGTGTGGGGGCTCACATCTGCATGGGGGCTCACATCTGTGCGGAGGGCCGTTGTACCCATAAGGAAGGCCCACTGCATCGGTGTAGAGCGGTGGCACGGAGCATTAACACATCTTCCACATCCCTCTTGGGGTGGCCCTTCCCTCCTGGGGTGTCCCCTCTCTCCTGGGGTCCCCTCACTCCCTCTCAACCCCCCCCTTCCCCATCCCCATCCTGCAGGACAGCCAGGAGCTCACCGATGTGGAGCGCGCCATCGAGACCGTCATCAACCAGTTCCACTGCTACGCTGTGAAAGGGCAGAAGGAGTACCTGACCCCCAACGAGATGCGGGAGCTGGTGGTGCAGAAGCTGCCCCATTTGGGGAAGGTGGGGGCACAGCTCGGAGATCGGGGGGGGGGGGACGACGGGGGACTGGGGACCCCACCTCTTGTCATCGCTCTGATGGTTTTTCTGCCTCTCCGCAGTGCGTTGGACCCCTGGATGAGAAGATCGAGTGCATGGGAGACCCTGATGAGGCCAAACTGGAGTTCGGGGAGTACTGGGACATGATGGGGGATGCAGCCAAGGGCTGTCGGAGAAAGTAGGGCCGGGGGGGTGGGAAGGCGCCGCTTCGGCCCCGCGCCACGAGGAGCTCCTCAGCCCCGCAGCGCCGCAGCGAGAGGGACTTTGCTCCTTTCCCCCAAACCCCTCCGATGTGGGGCTCCGGATCAGCACCGATGACACCGTCAGTGGTTTGGGGGTGTTTTCTGCCCCCCCTCTCCTCCGTCCTGGTGACCGCAGTCCCTGCACGGGTGTGGGGTCCCCGTGCCCCCTCTGATGGCTGCGCTCGGGGTGGGCCGGTGGCGGGATGTCAGCTGCTTGCGGCACGTGCAACCGTTTTTGTATAAATTAATAAAGGAAAAAAATGGAAGAAAACAACAGCTGGAATGGGAAGGCCTTGCTCTGTCATGGGAAAAAGGGGAGAGGGAGGGACGGGGCTGCGCTGCTGGGCTGCGCACCCCACTGCAGAGCACGAGGGTGCGAGGTGCAACGGGGGCTGTGCACGTGCATGGGGCGCTGCCTGTGTGTGTGCAATGCTGCTGGTGTGCATGCAATGCTGCTGGTGTGCACGGCTCTGCAGGCGTGCAAAGGGCTGCATGGGGTGAGCGTGCATGGGGTGCTGCGCGGCACTGCGGTGCCCATGTCTGTGGTTCCCACAATGGGGGACCCCACAGCAGCACCTGAGCTGTTTGTGTGCGGCTCACGTGCTGGACTGGGGGGAACCCTGGTGTTTCTGAGGTTGGGAAGGTGTGGGGTCAGTGGACAGGAGCTGGGATTTCTGTGTGAAATGCCATCTATCTGGGACGGGGCGGTGGTTCCCACTGAGCTCTGTGTCCTGGAGGAGGCCATTGATGGGGATGGGATGGGGGTGGGATGGGGATGGGTTGAGATGGGATGAGAATGGGATAAGGGATGGGGATGGGTTGGGATGGGGTTGAGAAGGGGATGAGGATGGGATGGGGTTTGGATGGGATGGAGTTGGGGTAGGGAATAGGATGGAGTTGAGACGGGGTTGGGAAGGGGATGAGGGTCGGTATGGAGATGGGATGGGGACCCAATGAGTGCCATCTCCGCCCCTGCGTTGGTGCGCACCCCGTGCTCTGGGAAGGATAAAAATAAGGATGAAAAACCCCCAAAACCTGGAGAAAGGTGATAAAAGTGGAGCCAGGCCGGGGCTCCTCCCGACACCGCCACCGCGACTCGGCCGCGGCCGCCCTCTGTCTCCTCTCACCTTGGGGTGGATTTCACAACACGAATGACTATTTATTGTTCCTGCCTTGGAAATAAATACATGGAAATTAAGCCGAGAGGTGTGGTGTGTGCATTTAATTAGAGACAGGAAATGTGTCAAATGGTTGGGGTGATGGGAGGGGGAAAAGGGATAAGGGGCTGTGGGGTGCTCTGTGGTGGGAGGGGGACCCCGGAGTTGGGTTTGGTGACCCCAGTGCTGTCATGCGCTGTTGGTGACCCCGTGGTTTGAACCAGCTTGATAAGGATCTTTGGGGCAGGAAGAGCTCAGTCCCACGGCTGGGTAACTTGTGAGCCCAAGGAACACGGCAGGGGCACACTGAGGTGGGGGTCCAGGGGAAGAGGAGCTCACAGGGACGACAGAGGTGTCTGGGAACCGCCGTGTGACGGGGCCCCGATGCTGCACGGCGCCTCCACGCACACACCCTGGATGCCTTGTAAAAATACGGGCTGCGTTGTGACATCGGCCCGGCACGGGGTAATGAGGGCTGTGATTCAGAGTGAGCTGTCTGCCCGCGGGGCCGGGGAGGGCTCCCACCCGACGGGATTGCAGCACCGGCACCGCGCTCCTCCTCAACCCGAGATCAGGCAGAGGGGAGCAGGGTTGACACACAACACTTTTCCGGGCCCCGGTGTCCCAAAAGCAGAGGTACCCCAAGGAGCAAAGGAAGAACCGTGGGCGTCTGCTGCCCGGCGCCGTGACCTCCTCTTTGCATCCCAAAATATGCAGCTCCGGTGTCTCCGTATCTGATCTGCGCATTGGATCGCCGTGCCATCGCTGCGCCGACGCGGGGTGCAATTTGCTGGCCTGGTTAATTATGGCTGTGAGCTCTTGGCGCAGCCCTGCAGCGCATCGTCGGTCCTCCCCGTGTGTCTGAGGAGGGCTGCGCACCCTTCACCGTGAGCACTTTGGATTCAGAGAATCCCAACCCAACCAGATCGTTTCCAAAGTCCCTCGGGCTGAATGGAGATGGAATGACCCCAATGGATGGGTTCTGTGTTTGTGTCCCACTGCCACACTCAATGCGCAACGCCGTGTGCTCACCCATCCGCTGGTGATAGACAAGGGCGATGTGCAGTGGGTTATGTGACAAAAAGGGGAAAAATGGGGGCAGAGGAAAAAAAAAATGGGAGAGGGATGGGAGAGGAAAGTCAGAATCTCTGCCCCTCGGTGCCGGCGCAGGTTCTGGGTTGGTGACACCCGGCCAAGGGAGGCAAACCCAAGCATCGAGTCATGGTCCCTTCTATCTGTAGCACAAAGAGGGTATTCCGTACCCGCACATGGGGTGGGAGTAGGGGGGATTCAGCATTTGTGCACATGTGGAAGGGGAAAGGCAGCACGGATCCTTCCTCCATCGGGTCGGGCCGTACCCCCATCGCTGCCACGTTGGCCCTTTGCGTCAGCGTCTCGCAGCAGAGGGGAACTCCGCACGGGGACAGCAGTGCCGTCCATCCCCCCCCCCATGCATCCTGCAGCCTCTTGGCGAGCGCTTTTGGTTCCCTAATTCCAGCTGCGAGCTCCGCGCGTGGTTTCCGTTCCTTCTTTGCTGCTAAGCAGTGCCCCGATGGTGGAGACCCTGAAAACATTTGAGAGATTTTCTGCTGGACCGTCGGGCGAGCGGCTCTCCCCACGTCGGTACGGGGAAAGGGTGGGATGGGGACCCAGGGGTGGCCCCGTGGGGTGGGCTCAGCGGCCCCACTGCGGTGTGTTGCAATCGGGGCTGCTTCCAGGTGAGCTGGGAACGCCCTGGGACGTCAGGGAGGGGCGGGAGCCTCCTTAAAGCCCTCGGGCCCACGGGATGGGCGCGAGGTGAGGACGAGCGGGCGGCGCTGCTCCCACGGCTCCGAGGCCGACAGGAGGACAGACGGACACAGCGGGACGGGCGGACGGGTGAGGTGCTGCGCCCAGCGATGGGTGCTGCGGGGGGAACGCTCACCGGAACGTGTGGCTGCAAGCGGGGTGGAAATCCCCCCCCCAACCCCTCCCCGAGCCCTTCGGCAGCTCCATGCATGCAGGGTCGGGCGGCGGATGGGGAGCTCAGCACAGGGGGTCTGTGGGGCTGTGGGAGGAGGAGAGGAGAGAGGAGAGAAGGGAATCATCATGGCGGCAGGAACAGGCAGGAGATCAGCCCTGTCCCACCCACCCGTGTCCCAGCGCAGGGACAACATCCCCACGTCCCGGTGTGGGATGATGTCCCCCCCATCCCACCATGGAATGAGGTCCCTGTGCCCCACCATAGGATGATGTTCTGTGGCTCTGGGGGGTGCATGGTGGGACCGGTGCTGTGAATCTGTGTTGGAGCAGAGCAGTGGGGCCCAGTGGGGTCTTTGGTTGGAACTGCTGCAAACGTGGTGGTGTTTAACAGCCTGGGATGAGCACAGAGGACAGAAGCGGAGGTCTATGGGGCTGCAGTGGGGGCTGCAGATCACAGCAAAACTTGCTACCAGCACCAGGCCCTTCAATGGCCCCACAAAGGGGTGGGGACAGCTCACGAGCGCACTGAGACACGATGGGGAGAACCTCGTGCCCCGTGCTACCACCCCGAATTGCTTCCAAACCCTGCATGCAGCTGAAACGGGGGAAGATGGGTGCAAACGTGGGGTGAAATTGGAGCGCGGTGGCACCGGGATGGCACCGATCCACCATGGGGTGGCTCCAACCGTGACCCACACCGCTCAGCGGTGGCACCAATCAGCACTGCAAGAAGCAACATAGCTCTATGCTTTGCTCAGCTTCATCCCTGCTCAGGAAGGAGCCGGGACCGGACAGCGTCGTTTCCGTCCCCGCCTGTGTGCATCCTGCTGGGATGCGGCCACCGGACCCCGTGACGGCAGCAATCCATCGAGCACATCCATAGGAAGGGGCTCCATAGGAAGGGAATCCCGGTGTGGGGTGGCCGCGGGGCACAGCGGACGGACAGGGTAGGACTTTAGGGTTGGGGAACCCGTGGCTCGTGTGGCCCAGACCTATTTTGGGTGACGCCTCAACCGAGAGCCCCGCCGGGGTGTTCCTGAGCCGTGAAGCAAGAGGAGGGCCGGCCGGTAATTCCTGCCACTCCCTGCCCCATTCCAACCTAATGAGCCCTGGGAACCGGGCGCCGCGGTCCGGGCACCGCGATGCCATAATTACTGCCGTCCCACGCGCCGGGGGCGGCCGCCCTGGAGGGCAGGTGGGGTGAGCAGTGCCATTTGGGGTGATAGAGAGCACCAGGTGCTCAACTTTGGGGTGGAAAACGCCTTGTTGGGGTCAAAAATGCTTTTTTGGGGTCACGCGCCGACCTCTGTGCTTCCTCATGGGTTTTCCTAAGCGGAAGCCCCGCAAGTGCCCCAGCCCTGACCCCCCTCCATCCTACAGGTGAACGTGGGGCGATGGCGGAGGGCACGGAGCTGGAGTGGGCCGTCCAGGTGCTGGTGAACAACTTTGACAAATATTCGAGCCGCTGCTGCTGCCGGAAGCCGCGGCGCATCAGCAAGAAGGATTTCCGCAAGATGCTGAGCCGTGAACTCAACCACATGCTGACGGTGAGGCTGGGGGGGACGCGGGGATGGCTTCAGGGTCCCCACACATCTTCCCCTCACCCCCACGGGTTCAGGGTC